TCACAACTTTTAGATGGCATCTATGTGGGCCCTAAGAGTATAGAAGAAGTGAAATTTTGACGTGTTGACTTGACCATTTTAAGACACGTCCAAATATGTCATATTAACTTCTCAACCATAAATTTAATTAATTTTTTTAATCAAAATTTACTAAAATCGGTTTTTTAACTATATCAAACATGATTTATCATATTACGGCCCGATGACTAGTTAAAATTGTGACTATTAAATCTCGACCATACGACGGCATAATAGCAAGAGTGATCGTCCAACAAAATTGTCCCCACATCTCATTTTTTATCAGGCATTTTCGTTTTCCAAATACTTATCACCAGCCTATTATAAAGCCAAAGAGTGCATAAATACAAACTATGCATCTAATATGAATATGAGAAATAACATTACGTGGGATTGGGCAACTCTAAATGCCTTTCACATAAAAAAATTAATTCATAAAGCAATAAATATTTCCAGGTCCACAGCAGGGAGGCTGTTTGTCCATTTACATATAGAAATGAACTATTCAACTTGTGATTTTTGTGGACTTGTCAATTTCCTTCACCTAAATGAAATATCAGGATTTACAGATTCAGTCCTAACATGCCAAGATTGGATTCATAGTCAAAATCTAACCTAAAATGGCTCCAAAGTAATTGTGGTTCTCAGTAAATCTAAGGACTATATCATTTTTCACGACTGTAATTTTCTGTAAATTAAATTCATTTGAGAGCTATTTCATGATCGCGACTTCGAATTAATCCTCATTCCTACTAAACTTAAGAGTTACATACACGAGTTCTTTTCCATTATTGTTTTTCACAAAAAGAAATTGATACGTAAATTTATTTGTTCTCTTGTGAATTAATGGTATTAGCATGTACTTTTCCAAAGAAGGTTTAGTGGAATTGTTGTCATCAAGCTTAGTCCTATTGCTAGTCCTTTTGGGACATTGTCAAATACAGCGAATTTAGATTTTTTTGGTGTTGATCATATACGCAAATACTTACCATGACGATGGACCAAAATTAGTGACTCTTGATGGAGTCATTTCTCAACTCTCTAGTTCCTGTCAACTTTCATAGTAAGCATGTGCGACTTTGGAAAGATTAAGGGTTCATTCCCACTCCCACTTGTCTTTGATGGAGAAATTATTTCAAAAAGGGAATTATTGCATTTTGAAAATTTTTCCTCAATATATTGACTCATAACTAGGCAATTTGACATCCACGTTGCAAGAAAAAAAATAAAAAAGAATAATTCCCTGTTATTTATGATGTGTTACTTCCTGCCTACATTTGTCACCATTGAAAAAGTTGGCCATTTCAATAATTCACATTCATTGGTTCATAAGAGGAGAGAGACACAAAAATTATGATTTCAAGGAAATGGTAAATCAATGGTCACTTTCCTTTTGGGCGTATAATTTATTCTTACTTAGCTACCTCACCTTTTTGGAAGATAAGCAAATTATCTAACCATCTTTTGCATAAAAGTGAAAGGGCACAAAGGACTCTCTCAACTTTAAATTATTGCTTATTCACTATAAGGGAAAAGAAAAGCTCGTTTTACTTTATGTTCATATAAATTTTTTGTGTCTTTGTGCTTAAAGTTTTATTATTTCCAAATAAGTTTCTTTATTAACCAATCGAACCTTACGTTGCCAAAGTTTTCTCTGAGAAAAAATCGAATATGAGTATTCAAAGAGTAGGGATTTGACTGAAAAGCCCCTCTCAATTCTTATAGTAAAAATGAAAAAATCATGGTAGAAATTGATTGCGTGGTGAATTGAGAGAACTATTTGTATTTGTTGAGATATAATCTAACTATTGACACGGATGAATTTGACTGAGTTTGACCTAATTTATGATCATTAATCAAACTTTGATTGATTGTGATCTTTGGAAGATTGAGACCCATTCTATTGAACTTTGAAGACTTCTTTCTGGATGTGTTCGGAGATTGACTTTGATTTGAAATCAAATTTAAAAATTGTGGAAAGACCAATAAATAAATAGGGGAAAAAATGAAAAAGTTGTGCAGACTCGATAATATTCACACGACCTCTTTTACACACTTTGAGAAGCATCAAACTCTTCAATTATCTGGATCAGCATCAAAATCTCTTACCATTTCACTAAGTGGAAGCACTACCAAATTGGGTGCTCCAAGAGAGAAGCAAAATGTAACCATCAATGTTGGGATATTAAAGAACTGTGCAATCAACATTTTTAAAGATCAAGGGAAACAACAATACATAAAGTAGAAGAAAAAAAAAATCAATTATGCCTTTTTGGATAAACTTTTAAAAATTGTAAAAGTTGATTTTAATTAATTAGAATTGAACTAATCAATCATTTCAATATAATTTTGGTGGTTTTAAAAAAAAAATGTTAATTTCGATAAATAGTTTAACGCACCACCAGTCGCGTGGGGAAAATTTCTGTACTAAGGACTTGTCTGAAATAACTTAAAAAATTAAAAAATAATTTCAACCACAATTGTCCAATAAGATAACTAAATATCAGTTAGTCAGTCAATTATTTTTGTGTGGTTCCTCATTAAATTCTGTTTGGATTTCGTAACGGGGCCTATCACTGAATGAGGGCCCACTTCTAATGTTACCGCGTTCAATTTGGGTTGGTGGGTTTGTTGGACAGATCACGGGTCAATTAACTAACCCAATTTGATTTTGCTAACTCTTAATGTGTCTTGGGCCTTTTCATTTAAAACGATAATTTTTTACATTTATTGAAGGTTGAACCTCAATCTTGAGGGTCCTTACCGTCCTGCCCCTAAAGCTTTATGAGGGAGGTAAATTGCGGAATGTGTCCCAACAGGTTAGGGAACAAGAGCTGTATGAATTCCATGTTTTAGGAATCGAATCCCCACACTACGACTGCCAACAATGCATGAGATAACCTCACTCCTGTCCTTTGCACCGAGTAATTTTTTACATTTATTACTCGTCAAGTGCATTTGATTTATGTGCCTATTTTTTAGCATAATCAATCATAACTTCCTCTTTCAAGTATAACGGTATCGATAGATACCCTACTTGCATAGACTCAGCCTCTATTTGTTTAAATAAAAAGTAAGATTTTTAGTATATTTTGATAACAGTTGGTGAAAGTTATGGATCCGTTAAAATTAATTGTTCGTCCTAACTTAAATTTTTATTTAACTTTTTAGTTAAATCAAATAGGACTCAATTAAGCAAAACAAAATGTCAAAAAAATTAAAGCTGCAACTCTTATTCCGTGACACATTTATTTTCCCCTCATAATTCCCTTATTGACTGATGATAGACCACATACTACTTCCACGAAATTCAATTTCCGCGAAAAAAAAACAAAAACAAAAAAAAAAACAAAAACAAAAAAAAAAACCTCTGTCTCTCTCTCTTTTGAGTTTCACCATTGATTAATTGACGCACTTTTCTCCTTAAATACTGACCAAGTAGTGTGACAGAACAATAAATTCACGTGGAAGGATCCAATGAACCATAAATTTTGGTCTTAGATCCATTTGATTTCGAAAACGTTAGCCTATGAATTATGTTAGTCATTAAATTACAACACCGTGTGTCTTCCATCCAATTCCCTCGTCAGCTATAGATTAACAACTTTTAAGAATCATGTTATAAGTACAGAATTTTTGACAGAAGAACCTTACAGACAATACATGGCACGGCATCATGAAAAGATGGGAAAAAGAGAAAAAATAGTCCACTTACAGTTTGACACATCAGCGTTGATACAAGTTCTGTTAAATTTTTCCTGTACTTATGGTTTTATTGAACTTGAAATTTGTTTGTCAAACTTTTTAAATTGTTTATAAGCAATTCACTAAAGAGACTTATATTTAAAAAAAAATTGTGAATTTTATAAATTATATGCATAAAAATAGATTTTGACTAGTTTATAAACAACAAAATTTCGATTTGATTATTGAAATCCTACCTTGGGTCAATGAATTTGGCAAATAATCATGATTCTTAATTTAAGCTAATTAATTGTCTAGATTTAGTCCACTGTCGGGGATTAAAATCAGATTTTTAGTAGATTTTACTAAAAATTAATGAAATGTGTAATTGAAAAATTGTGGATCACATTAAATATGAGGTTAAAAGTAATTATTGACTTTAATTCAAATTTTAAAAAATCTGAATTTTAATTCCTATCAAATATGGGCTTAATAAGCCTCAATTTAAAAATAATCTATGTTTGACAACCATTAAAAAGAGATTTTTTTTTTAAATAATGATTTTTTCTTCATTCATAAATTTTTTCCAAACGAAAATATTGAAACAATAATAGCTGGCCGGACACCTACGGTCATAAAAAATAATAATAATAATAATAAATAATATATATATATATATATATATATATATATATTTGACTTTGTTTTATATGAAAATTGTCAATTTAAGGAATGTCATCTTTTACAATTATTCCTGGAATTTGTTCTCATTGCAAAAAAATAAAATTAAAAAATTAAAAAAAGGTGGAAAACATAAAACAATCTACCCCATGGGCAAATGAATTCCCCAAAAACCAAGAATTGGTGCTCGTGTGAGGCAAAGATTGAAAATGAATTCATGAGAAAATTTTGGCAATCAAACAAGCCAAAAGTGGGTAATGGAATTTGTTTTCCGTTTTCCATGGAAAAAATTGGGCTGTCAAACATAGCCTTAATATCT